CTGATAAGCCAAAGACATATAAAGAAGCTGTGGAGAGTAAATATGCAAAAAACTAGATTATAGAAATGAATGAAGAGATGCAGTCTCTTGAAAAGAACAAGACTTGGGATCTTGTTGAATTACCAAAATGGGTGAAGCCAGTGGGATGCAAGTGGGTCATTAAAAGAAATGAGAGAATTCCTGGTGTTGAATCTGCTAGGTTCAAGGCGAGACTGGTGGCAAAAAGGTTTTCACAGAAAGAAGGAATCGATTACCATGAAGTCTTTTCTCCTATGGTGAAACACAAAACCATCCGGGTTCTTTTGGCAATGGTGGGTGCTTTTGATCTGGAGCTGGAGCAGCTTGATGTAAAAACAGCATTCCTTCATAGTAATCTAGAAGAACGGATTTACATGTCTCAACCGGAGGGGTTCGACAGTTCTAAAGGGGACCATGTATGCTTGTTAAAGAAATCTCTATATGGCTTGAAGTAGTCTCTGAGGCAGTGGTATAAGAGATTTAATTCTTTCATGGTGTCTAATGGTTATACTCGTAATCAGTTTGATAATTGTGTTTACTCGAAGAAAGTTTCTAGTGATTCATTTGTGTATCTGCTGTTGTATGTGGATGATATATTAATTGCAGCTAAAAACATTGTTGTAATTAATGACTTGAAGGCTCTACTAAAGGGTGAGTTTGAGATGAGGAATTTGGGTGTGGCAAAGAAAATACTGGGTATGGAGATCTGGTGTGATAGAGAAGCAAGAAGGCTATGGGTTTCTTAAGAAAAGTATATTGAGAAAGTTTTGCAGGCATTCTTTATTGATCAGTCAAAACCGGTAAGTACCCCTTTGGTGGCACACTTTAAACTTGATCGAAGCACTATACCGGCTACAGATGAAGAGGTTAGCTATATGAAGACAATTCTATATTCAAGTGCAGTTGGAAGTCTTATGTAGGCGATGGTATGTACGAGACCAGATCTTGCTTATGCGGTTAGTGTGGTGAGCAGGTTTATGGCTAATCCGGGTAAAGCTCACTGGGGAGCTGTAAAATGGATCTTGCGATATCTGAAAGGAACGTGTGATATTTGTCTTGTATATGATGATAAAGGCCATGGTGATGGTCTTGTTGGCTATGTAGACTCTGATTACGGGGGTGACTTGGTGAAACGAAGATCACTGATTTGCTTTATCTTCACTGTGTTTGGATGTGTAGTCAGTTGAAAGTCTATTTTACAACTTACGGTTTCATTGTCGACGATTGAGGTGGAGTACTTGTCAATGACTGAAGGTATTAAGGAGGGTATCTGGTTACATGGTCTGGTGCAGAGTTTGGGTCTGAAGGTCTTTAAATAGGTGTTATTTTGTGATAGTCAGAGTGTTTTGAGTTTGGCTAAAAATCCAATGTATCATGAGAGAACCAAGCATATTGATGTAAGGTTAAATTTTATCCGTGATGTTCTGGAGGAAGACAGGTTTTCTATTCAGAAAATAGTTACAGAACACAATCCAGCTAATATGTTGACAAAGGCGCTACCGACGGAAAAGTTCGAGCACTGCTTGAACTTAGTGAATATTCGCATGAGGTAAAGTCCTCTTGGGGCATCTGGCAGGAAGAAGACAATTGAGAGATACTGACGAACTTTTGACGGTTTGAGAAACTCCAAGTCAAGGTGGAGATTGTTGAAATGTGACTTGGATTTAGCAGTCTACCCGACCCAAAACCAAAGCGAAAGGGTTGTTTCAATTGGCAGAGTTCCTTTTGGGCTTATCATAATTAATAACAAATATGCTTAGAGTTTAGGGTATTTTGAGGTGCTTATAAGTAGATAGTTATGGTTCCTAGTCGAATGACATGATTGTAACTCTATGAATCAGTATAATAAAATCTCTCTGGTTCCTGCCCATAGACGTAGGTTGACACACTATCACCGAACCACATAAAACTTTTGTATTCTTTATTTTTTTTCTTTCTCATTTTCTCATAACATTATTCTTATGTATTACTCCCTCTGTCTCAATTCAAGGTACCATTTTTACTATTTTCGTATGTTCTATTAAAAAATATATATTTTCTATTTTAATAAAAATTATAATATATTCATACCAAAATATTCTTAACTTTTACTTAAATTACAAATATATTTTACATATACAATTTTTTATATGTATAAAGTTAAAGGATAAAAATATAAAAATAAAAACATCTTGCACACTCTCACCTACCAATAAAAAGACTATTTCTTAATTTATTATAAAATCTCACAAGACCTTTTTGAGTGAAATAGAGAGAGTATATTTTTTTTTTCTGTCAACTTTATACTTATTTACAATTGTATCTATTTACTATTTAAATATGTATAAATTTGACGGAGAAAATATGACTCCATTCACGTAGATTTTTTTTTTGGATAAAATGATTTTTGGATGAAATAATTTTTAAATGCATATAAATGTACGGAGAATTGTATCAAATATATAAATTATACTCCCTCCATCCATTAACAATATATTCATTTTTCCATTTTGGTTCGTTCCATAACAAAGTATTTATTTCATTTTTTAGGAACTGCATTATCTACTTAACATTACAAATACCTCTGCAATTACAATATATTACACAAATGTTATTACCTTTATATCATACAATACTAATAAAGTTAGTTTAATTTTTATACCTTTATTTCTACTATATTATAATATAATACTAATATTTCTAAAAACTCCATACAAATAACAAACGGATAGATAGATATAAGATAGGGAGAATATTATTTTAAGTTGAATATTTGACTTTTTGTAATGATTTTTTAACATTTTATAATGAATATTTGAATTTTTAATTTTTAATTTTTGTATTTGACTTTTTGTAATGATTTTTTAACATTTTATAATGAATATTTTAATTTTAAATTTTTGTATAAAATATTTTATGTATTTTTTTTATTATTTTAGAGAATTACAATTAAAAAATAATGTTGAAAAAGCACAACGATTATTTTAGACAAATCATATATTATATATATATATATATGACAAGGCGTTTTAATTCCCGTGTTTTCATAATTTTGGAGTTTTATTTTATTTTTAAATATTAAGTTAGGATAATTAATTAATTTTTTTTAAAATAACTAATAATCCAATAAAATTAGGATTTATTGGGATAATAAATAATAAAATTATGAATAAAATTAGGGTTTCATTATCTATATATACTTACTTTTAATTCTATAAATTGTTCGATTTTTTTTTTTAAAAAAATTGTTTTATTTTTAAAGATCATATTCTTTTTATTTATATTAATATATTTTCTTTGATTATTTGATACATAATTACATCGATATTTTGTTAACCGTCGGATCAAACTGAATTTTTCAGGGAGTGTTCGTGATTCGTTGCTATTTCAATTCAAGTAGGATTTGCGATCGGATATTTGTAGTTCAACCAGAATTTTACATAATGTGACAAATGTTTTTGTTCATAATCTTGATCTTAATTTTTCTTAAGTTTCTGATTTTCATCGATTAATACAGTGGTTATTGGGGTATTATTTAGATGCATTTTTTAAATGACTCTTATATACAATTTGATCATAGTAGATTTTCTTCTATGATTTGATTGACCTGTGATTTTTATTTTTTCTTAAAAGGTTTTCCATATTAAAATTATTCGTATTTTTTATATTTTATTTGGGATATAATTCATTATTGTTTGCCATATTTTTGCAAGAGGATTGTGTATTTCTATTAATATAGATAGTAATATACTTACAATATTTTTTTTGTTAAATTTTAAAAATTTTAAACTTGATTATGCATGAATTAACTATGGTATGATATTGATTTTATTATTCTTTTTATTATATATTCTTTTTAGTTTATACTCATCTATTTATACGGTGAAGTAGGAAAAAAGAATAAGAAAAGAAATATCATAAAAATGAAGAAGAAAGAAAGAATGTATAAATTTTTTAAAATTATTTATTGTACTGATAAATTTTTTCATTTTTATTGTATATGTATTTTTTAAAGTTAATTTGGTTTTTAGTATAATATTTTAATAGATTTTTGAATTTTGTATATCATGTTCAAATTTAAGGTGTGTTTGTTTGGGGATTGGATTTTAAATTTATTATTCATCCTTTTTTTTTTCCAAAAATATCAAATCAAACATCTATTTTTCATTTTTTATATTATACAAAAAATTAATTTTATATTCAAAACATCACATCAATACCTATTTATATCACACCATATAACCATTCAAATTCAAAATTTTTAAAATTAAAATTTCAACTCAAAATCCAAATCCCTAAACAAACACACCAATTTTTTATTTGTAAAAATATTTGAAAAATTCATATAGAAAATTACCATAAGTTAACATATAAAAAAGTTTTATATTTATTATATTGTTATTGTGTATATATATTTTTAAAATTATTTATTTTGTTATTTTTATTTTTTATAAATTACTCTCTCAGTTAAATAAGAGTTCTGCTTTTCATTTTCATTCGGTCACAAAACAAAAATATCATTTCCTAATTTAGTAATTGTACTACTTACATAACATAATAAATACACTTGTAACTTACAATATATTACACAAATGCCACCAAATTTATATTATATAATACTAATACTAATAAGAGTATTTTTGTCTATTTCACTGTAATCCAATATAATACTAATATTAAAAAAAATTATTTACAAAAAGCAAACGTCGAGGGAGTTATTTTTTAATTTTTATTATGCATATTATTTTTTAAATTGATTTAATTTGAATAACATATTATATATATAAAAATAAATATTATTTATAAAAATATTAAATCAGTGTAATTAAAATTAAAGCAATTTTCCAAATTAAAAATGCTTACAATTACAAAACGCACCGCTAACAAAATTTATAATTAAAAAGAAAAAATGAAACTCCGGTGTGCTGACGTTGCATGATGTCATCAATCGAAGTCATTCCTGTTTTCTCCATTTTCGACTTTTTGGCGACAAATGCGTACCAACTTCGCTCCCCCTGCGTAACGCTCGCAGAGACATAATTCTCACACGTTATTCGCCTTCTCTTTCCGTTGCTTCCACCTCTTCCTTCTGCACCCATGGCTGCAGCTGCTGGCGAGTCCAAGGGCCCCAATCCCTGGGAGGAATTGCTGCGGAAAATGCTGCCGGAAGGCGCTCCGTTGCCCGACGAGGATCAGCTCGACTACTCCATATCCGTCGATTACATAGGCCCTTCTTCGGTTTCACGGCCGCCGACCAATCCCATGATTCCAAAAACTTGTTTCAGTGCCTCTTCCAAACGTGTCCCCTCACTCAGTCCCAAGAATTCCTCATGGATTAAGTCCCGCTCCAGCACCGACCCAACGATTTCGGAGAACAAAAGGAACAGCGCCAGCTCCATCGCTTTTGATATAGTGACCGATGATATTAGCGACGACAGTGAAGCTGAAGCTGAGACTGTAGGTGATCGCGACGAGTCGAACTTTTCGGACGGGAGTGAAAGTGATGCGGAACGTGAGGTATGCTTTCAACTTCCGCACTGTGGTTGGCACAAAGGAAGTAGTGTGTGTATAAGATGCGGGAAGAAGAGGGGTTTGTTAGGTCTACGAGAAGCCTGCCTCGTGTGTGGCGCGGAGTATTGCATGAAATGCGTGTTGAAGGGGATGGGTTCGATGCCTGAGGGAAGGAAGTGCGTCGGGTGCATCGGCATGCCCGTTGATGAAGCGCGCAGGGGAAGGTTGGGAAAAGGTTCGAGAGTGCTGGCGAGGCTATGGAGTCAGTCTCAGGTGAAGGAAATCTTGAGGGTGGAGAGAGTGTGCAGAGCCAATCAGATGAGGGCAGTCCAGTTAATTGTGAACGGGAGGGAACTGAAGGAAAAGGAATTGGAGGAATTGTTGGATTGTACATTTCCTCCTAGGGATTTGAAGCCGGGAAGATATTGGTATGACAAGGATTCTGGACTTTGGGGCAAGGTGCAGAAATTGTCTCATACTTTAATTTCATGATATGGATTTTGAGTTTCTGTTGAGTGATGTTAAGCTTTTCATTTGCTTGATTGTTTGAAGTGAGCAATATATGCTTTTTCTTGGGTAAAATTGCAGGAAGGTTAAGCTCTTCATTTGCTTGATTGTTTGAATTGTGCGAGGATATGTTTTTCATTGGGTAAAATTGCAGGAGGGGGCCAAGCCTGATACCATGATCACTTCAAAATTGGCGGTGGGAGGGAAGCTGCGAGTAGATGCAAGCTGTGGAAATACCAGAGTTTACATGAATGGCCGTGAGATCACAAAGTTTGAGCTCAGAGTGTTGAAGGTAGAATTGGGATTGAACCCATGTATTGTCTTGGCAGCATCTGATATTATCGAAAGCTTAACTTGTTAGTATTGATAACATAATCCTTATAGTACCTTTGGAAAATTTTATGATTTGCTTAGGACTTACTCTAATTCTGAGCTTGAGTACAATTTATAGGCGATAAGCTTTCAGAATATTGTTGCTTGTGTCTGAGGATCAAACATAATTACACTTCCTCTAATAAATTGGCAGCTGGATGATGATGTGTGAAGTTCTATTATGTTTTTTAAACTGAAAAAGATAGAATGAATGCATGCCAACATGGTGTCAACTAATGATTTCATGTAATATGTTCAAAGCATTAACTTCTTCCATTATAATGTCTTTCAAGTGGTCAAGATGGAATTTTGTATATTTGGCAGAGTTTGTATCGAGTCTTAGGTCGTTATAAAATTCTAGGCAGTATCTGAAACATGGTGTGAAGTTAATTAGCATACCTACATGAATCTGTTAGAGAAATTGTTTGCAACTTTTAGCGGCTCTAACTACATGTCTTTTAGGGTGACCCTCTTAAATTTGAGGCATGTATACCAGCAGTAACAGTCAGCATGTTGTTGGAATAATGAATTTAATATTGCAGAACCCAGATTGCAGTTGTCATAAAACTAACAATAAGGAGCCCTTTCATAATATGTTCTCTGTGCTTTGGGTACCAAAGTTAGAGTTGCTCCACTATTAAGTGTTCTGTTTGCAGTCTAATTGCAGTAATTTAACAGTTGTAGCATTATTTTGACAAATGTCTCTGCAAATTGTACCAGCAGCCTCAATTTCTTAAGGCTGGATGAAAGCTTACATCTTGTGTTACTCATGGGTTAATGTATCTTTTCACTTCTTTTCATTCAGATGGCCAATGTTGAATGTACCCCTGGTACCCGTTTTTGGCTCTATGAGGATGGATCTTATGAGGAAGAAGGACAAAATAACATTAAAGGACATATATGGGAAAAGGTTCTGTTACAGTGTTTAGAGATGGATTTCATATTGATAGAATATTTGGTTTTCTTGATTTGAAGTTTTCTACTGAAGAAATTAAATTGGGCTTTTTGATAGGCAGGTCTCCACTCGTTTGCTTTGTTCCTTGTTTTCATTGCCCATACCACGTGAAACTTCACAAGGTTTAAAGGAAGATACTGCTTGCATTACATCAGCAATGTTCCATGAATGCTTGGAGAAGCACAGGGTCCAGACACTTCTTCTTCTTGGATTAGAAGACTCTGGGACAAGTACTATCTTCAAACAGGTAAAATCTTGGTTCTATTTCAATCTTGTTTTCCATTTTAAAAAACTAATGAACTTTTCAATTTGTTGTTAGGTGGATATAACTTTGATCTCTATTAGTCAAAAATCTCTTTTCCTGAGTTTGTAACTATAAATGACATTACTTAAGCAACATCAGGCATGATAAAAAACTGTTTGACCTTTGGAATCAATGCTTAGATACTAACCTCTAGCCTTGTGCATTAGACACTCATATCTGACACTTCTAAAGAGTGACATTCGAGGTGGTCGGGACACCGGCTTTGCACCCTCTACCAAGTTGATGGCAGACTTGTTCCCGACTTTTCTAGGCCCGGGGAAAATTAAAATAATGGGCCCTTAAATATATATTTTTTATATTAATATAATAATAAAAGTAATTTTAAACATATTTTTAAATGTAAATTTAATAATAAAATTAATTTTTATATATTAAAAGAATAAAATATAAAATAAAATTAATGTGATATTTTTATTAATTAGTTTTTAGTTTAATATAAAAAAATTGATTTAATATTTTTTGAATAAATGTTTTTATAAATAGTAAAAATCTTTTTAAAAAATTCCAAACATGAAGGGTGTGTTTGTTTGTGGGTTTTAGTTTTTGGATTTGGATTTTTAAATAGTAAAAAGTTGAATTTGAATCTTTATTTGATGGGACATAAATAGAAGTTGATGTGATGTTTTGAATGTAAAATGAATTTGTAGTATAATATAAAAAAAGAAAAATAATTGTTTGATTTGATATTTTTAAAGGGAAAAAAGAATTTAAATAGTAAAAATCTACCTTAAAATCCACAAAAGAACACAACAGAAGTGGTTATAGAATACACAAACTTTTAAAAATATTACCAAATAAATATAAGGTGTGTTTGATTTGTGTGTTTTGGTTTGAAGAAAATTTTTTTGATGTAAGGTATAAAGAATTGTATAGATAAATAAAAATAATGAGTGTGTTTATTAATTTTTCGGAAAAATGTGTTAGAAATTTTTTTGAAAAGAAACAAACCCATAATAGAATATACAAATTTAAATAAATAACATAAAAAAAAATAATAAAAACACATAGAATATTACTACTTGAATGGATGTAAAGGTTACATATAAAATCATAACGTTGCCAGAAGAGTGAGTGAAGATAAAATGAAAAGAAAAATTACTCCTTGAATGGATGTAAAGGTTACATCGTCTACTATAAAGCAATTATTATGAAAAGGATGTGAAGGAGAGATGTGATTGAACGATTCTTTATCAGAACATGATTTGTGTTAATGGAATCTAATATCAAAGTTTGGCCAAAGTAGGTATAAATGTGAAAATCTATTGGGTTACCTTAGTGGGCTATGGTGGCCATTGAAAGGATGGTGTCTATTGAGTAGCTAGAAATTCCAAAATTTTAGTGTATTCCTCTGGTGGCCATCCTTATTGAAATGGGTGCAATGAAGCTATATCCCTCTACCATGACCACCTTGCCCATTGTCCCTACATCCTTACCCTAGAAAGTTTTTTCGTCGTGGCCATCCTTGCAATGAGGCCGTATCTAATAGATCAATAACAATCAAACGAAGAATTTTGTTTGCCCAAACAGCCTCGACAACTTTTTTTTGAAACAGCCTTTAGCCAATTTGGCTATAGCCAAGTGGAGGCATCCTCCCCTTAGGAGGCTTGTGTCCCGGCTTCCAAAAAAAAACAAAAACAGTCATTCAATAATCCTATGAATGTCTTCCAAAAGCCCTAATTAACAATTTAAATACCCTAAGTAATAATAAAAACCCAAATAAAGAAATAATACAGCCCATAAATAAAAAGTCCAAGCAAAACAATAAAATGTTGATAATTAAATGCTCAAGCTTGCGAAGCAAGCCTAAGTCCGTCCCTGCCTCCGGTACACACGTAGGGGCCTTGCTCCCTCCTCATTTCTGATCTCCTGTTCCTGCTCCTTATACCATGACCACCTTGCCGACTGTGCCTACTTCCATGAGTACCTCTAGGTTGAAGGGAAGGATGTGCCATGAGGGGCAACCTATCTATAGGAGTTTTAGCTGCAACTTCTTTTGAAATAGAACTAGATAAGTGAGAATATACTTTGACAAGAGGATGGAAGCTTTGTGTTCCAAGGATTTGAGTGCTGACAGGTTCAAATTCAGATTTGAGACATGCTGGAAAGATTATTGTGATCAAGTGTTCTCGTTCCCTCCACATTTTTTTAACATTGACAAAGGTGGGAAGTAAAGTATTCAACTTCTTGTATGCACGTTTCACTTTGCCAAAGTAATCGACAGAGCAAACCCTCTTGTCTGAACTAAAAAGGTTTTATTGAGACATCAAACATATGAAGTATGTTATTGGAATCCAGGAGTCTAGCATATTTCTATGCCTGCTTGCATGTCCTAACATGAAAAAATAGACTTGAAATATCAGTTCCATCAAAAAAGAAGAAAAAGTAGTTGAGCATCTTTACCTTGGCAATTTTATAGCAAGGTTGCATCTCTAGAAGGATCCGCAATAAAGATGGGAAGCAATCTTTCGTTCTCTAGTGAATTTTAATTTCTGCATTGGCAGCGGCTTCCACGGTGGAAGACAGTAAAAGATAGAAATTCAACAAATAAATTTGGTGAAATAGAGAGTGCCCAACCAACTAGAGGATAAACACCCTGGAACAATTCAAAGACTGAAGACAGAGATGATATACCAAATTTAGTGAGATTGGTGGCTGACGACACGCACCAGCACATTAAGAGGATTCTGGAGGTACATCTGGCTAGAGCATGGTCACGGTACGGGAGTATGCTGGTTGGAATATATGATCAATTTTGGGATTGAGATAATAGCGAATGATTAATTGAAGATTGAAATAAGTGGATTGAACACGGGTTGACAAGTTGAAGTTGAGCCTTTCCTACTCTATTACCATGCCATGATTGAAAGAAGAAAATGTTGTATATTGGATATTGTCCTTCATTGAGATTACATGGTACATATAGAGATTTATCAAAAAAAGACATATAAATCACAAGATTAATACAGATGCATTAGTTTGAGGTAGAATAGTCAAAATGGGTTGAGTCCGTCGGGTTGCCCGCGCCGCCCCACTTTTTAAGAGGCTTGGGTTTTAATTTTTTAGGCCTATTAAAATGTGGGCCTAAACGAGCAAACCCATACGGACTGCGGGGCCCGTATTGGGGTTAGTTCGTGGGCCAAACAAATGTAATTATATTATATTATATCTTTCATATTTTAAATGAATTTATCTATTTTTTTTTTATTTTAGGCTGTCCAAAATTAATCTATTTATTTTATTTTTAATAATTGTACTTACTACATAATTTTAGAAAATTCTTACATCTTACATATTATTACAATAAAAATCATCATCATTGTCTAATACTAATATTAATAGTTTTTAATAAAAATAAATAAATTGATATATACATATGGATTGATGAAACATTATATTTTAGGATAGTTTTTAAAAATATTTTATATTAAATTAAATCGAATATTTAAGTTATTAGAAACTTTCATATTATGTTAAACTACTTAACCTATATATTGTCTGCGATATTACTCTCTTTTATAATTATTTTTGCGATGTCATTGCTTTCTTTATTTTATTATTTTTTTTTCATTTGTATTATTTATTTTTCATTGTATTTTAATTTTTTTCTTCTAAATTTATTGAAAGATCCATAAGAATAATATCTAGTTATTGTTTAAATATTTTCGATTAACAATTTTTTAAAAAAATAACGATCAATGATATTTATAATTTTAAATCAATTTATATTACATATTTATTTAAATATTTATTATTTTAAATTTTAAAATATAATTATTTTTTATATTAAATGTATAAAAAATAATATTTTTTAAAGCCCGTATGTTGGCCCGCTTGGCTCGCCACCCGCTGTTGGGCTGGGTTGGGCTACCTAAATCTTAGCTCATCCCGCCGCACATTGGCCCGCAAATAACCTGCTTAGTTGCGGGTTATAGTGGATTGTGGGTTAATTCGCCCTGCCAACCCATTTTGACAACTCTAATTCTAGGTACTAATCTTACTAATGAATACTACTAATATCTAATGGCCTTAAGATACAAATAAAAAAACAAAACACCCTAAGTTCTTATGTAAGAAAGGGCATATTTCTAACTCTACTTCAAATTGGCAGTAATATACTTCTGTTTCCTGCTCTAGTGCAGAAATCCTAATATTGAACAATGGCACATGCAACTTGAAATTGCTTTTTATGATCCAACTCCCATGCTGACTTCTCTACAAAGCCTTGGGAGGATCCCAAGTTTAGTGCATTTGTGACAAATATGTATGTTGGAGTAGATATGATTAGTATTAATTATGGACAAAAAATTATGTTATTTTTAATAAATACAAAAATTTGTACAAATTATATTTAATTTGGATTTAAAGCGAGTCCTATTATCTAAATGAGTCATTTGATTCTCTTTTCGGGTTGATTTATTTTCCAACATGGTTTTCGATGGCATCTTTGATCCGAAGAGATTTGGTCTTCGGTTTGACTTTTCCAAACTTTGGAGAGCTTTGGTCTTCGTGCGGGCGATTTGATCGTCGACTTTGGATTTGATGTCCTCTTTGGACGATCCGAGACTTTGATATTTGGTTTGACTTTGCCGCTTTTGGAGAGCTTTGGTCTCTGTGTGGGCGATTTGATCATCGGCTTTGGATTTGATGTCTTATTTAGACGATTTGAGCCTTTGATCTTTGCTTTGTCTTAACCGCTTTTGGAGAACTTTGGTCTCCATATGGGCAATTTGATCATCACCTTTGGATTTAATGTCTTCTTAGGACGATCCGCGGCCTTGATATTTGATTTGGCTTTGCTGCCTTTTGGGGAGCTTCGGTCTCCGTGTGGGCGATTCGATTGTCGGCTTTATATTTGATGTCTTCCTTGGACGATCCGTGGCTTTTATATTTGGTTTGCCTTTTCCGTCTTTTGGAGAGCTTTG